GCAAAAATTGTACATAATATGTAAACAAATAATTCACTCGACACAATTTCACCCTCGTTCATTTTTTTTTGAAGAGGGTTTTATTAATTTAAATTCGACCCATTCTAGGTTACGTGCCTATTAATTACAACCCTTCTTTTGGGAAAGGAATACCCTTTGATTCTAATATGAATAAATTGTAACTTGGGGATTTGGGTGTTTATTTGATTTTGTGACTGCATCTAGGTAAAGCCCTAGATTGCCTATGTACCCTCGTTGAGGGATCAAGTCACTCATAATTCCTTATGTATTTGCTGGGATTTGATGCATTGTGCAGTTTCAACTCATGCAGGCAAGAAGCATTTAATGCCTTGTGCAGTTTTAGCTCATGCGGGCAAGGACTTTAAGCCATTGGAGCGTTTAATGCCTTTTGATACTTGATACGGCTTCGTGCCTTTTGAAGCGGCTTTAGACCTTTTGATACTTGATATGGCTTAGTGCCTTTTGAATTTTGTCGCGGAGTACCACCAATCTTTGTGTTCTGAGATGGTTCGCATCACAATATTTGAGGTGATGCGTGTCTACCAATTTGACGCCGACATTATCTTCATAATGTTGATATTGTCTTTATGTTTCTTTTTCGTCTTGGAATGCACCATCCCCTTGCCATTTAATACTTGGTCAAGATTCAAATTCATGGGGCTACTCACTTATAGAGCCCATATAAATTTGGATGGGGAGCTATGACTTTTCTAGAATGCCATGTGAGTGACCTTCCTGCAGATTGCCATGTGAGTGACTTTCCTATCCACAAGAAAAGAAGACCACATCGATATATTTTAATCGTACTTTTGTCTTTTTTGTATTTTTTTGCTGGAACTCTTCTTCTCTTCCTTTGCAGCTTCCTTCTCCAGTTTGTTTCGTGGGAATTCAATCCTTTCTGAAATAAGACTTTTGAAAGCATGAAAGCCGGCCCTTCGTTTTCTCATTGCAAAAAAAAAAAAAAAAAACTTGTTTTACTTGTCTTTTCTTTTGAGTTTTTTTAAACCACCCAGTGGAGGTAATAGAGTCATCCCCTTTTTTTCTCTTTCTTCTTCTCGGTTTTGGAAACTTTGTCACTTCGTCTCCATGCCTGATCTCTTTCTTTTTGTCATTGACTTTTATATCTTGCACAACAGATTGCAGAATCGACAAGTCTTTGTTTTCATATTTTTTAATGAAAACATAAAAGCAGGTGGCGGAGCACCATGCCTTTTCGGGCTTTTTATAGTCAGACTTTCTTTGAGAAGGAACCACATGATTTTCTGTTGGAGAGATGTCGCATTTTGAAGATGTCACGTGAGTTTTTTTATTTGATTTGGGCAGTTGTCAGCAAGCCCTTTTTCATTCTTTGTGAATTTGAACTCTTCCAAGTCCCGTAGGACTTGACGTGGGAATAAACATTTATTTACATTTATTTATTTCCCTCCTTGCTAATTATGAGTATCATGCATCGGATGAACTGATATGGACTACTCAAGTTTCTATAGAAATTTGGGTTAAAGTCATTCGATCTTTATGTAATGGATTGAGACAGCATATTTAAGTTAGCCAAAACTATAAGAAGAGAATTAGAAATTGGATCCAATCCCGTAAAAAATAAGCACATTGTTTTAGCTCATTAAACTGTGTGCATGTATGAATTGTGAGCTTTCTTGCACGACTTAATTTAAAAAGTAAAAATGAAGAATGCTAGCAACCTTCTCTTCTTCTTTTTTTTTTTTTTTTTTTTTTTTTTTTGAACAAAAGCAACCTTCTCTTGCGACTTTATCTTTGTACCATTTTGGCTTTACTTCCCATTCCGTTGTTTGATGATCAAAATCGTCCACGTTTTAGACATCATTTAACAATCATCTATGTAAAAATAACTAAATTCGAAATCGTTTAGTCATCTAATTATTATCCAATATGTTGATAACGAATCATGTATCTCATTTAAACAATGAAATTTTGTCAACGTTAATCGAACAACTAAACAACTTTGATTTGACTGATTTTTTGCAAAATGGATCTTTAAATTATGATCGAGGAAGTGAGTTTTGATCATCAAATAACATTACAAATTAGTAAGAGAGCTAAAAAGGTAAACCGAGAAGGCTCAAACGAGAATGTTGTTGTCATTCCCCCTACAAAAATAGTTGAAAATATGGGACCAAATATTAAGTTTTGGCTAAAGCGGACTAATAGTCTATGTGATGATAGGGTATCAGAAGATAACTTCGTGGTAAAAAAGTATGGATTCAAACCCTTGAGGTGAAGACCGTTTGCAAATTTAACTCAAAAATGAAATTCTCATTAATTCTCCATTGGATGCAGGAATAAAATTGTCCAGCCCAACTCTTTCTTTTGTTTACCTTCTTCTCTCTTCGTCTTTCATTACTCTCTAATTATAGCTTCACCTCCTCCTCCCTCTCTCTTCAACCATTTTTAAGGAGAATTTGAACCAGTATAGCAATTATGTCCTTCCCCATTGTTGCAACAACTGCCCTATCCATTAAAGTTAAATTGATGAAAGCTGAGGTGCTGAGATTGATAGATTGGTCTATTTCTTCGAATGAGGATCCTTTTTGTGAGGATCTTGGGGATCCTCCAATCACATTCTTTTATGTATATTGTACGGTCAGTTTTCGTTAAATATTGTTTATATTTAATTTTAAATAAAAAGATTTACAATGATTTATAACCGTATAATATACGATAAACGGATGTGATTGAAGGATCCGAGAGGATCCATTCTATTTCTTCCAATTTCTTCAATCTCTTATCGAGGCGTGATGAGACCTATAGCTAGCCAAAAAATAAAAAACAGTGTAGAAATTGAACTTTTGGGTTTGCCGAAGATGGTGCCATGTGAATCGGTCTTGAGAGTGTGCGAGAAGGGTGGGTCATTGGGAGAAAAGACATGGTAATGATCTTGAAGGCCGGTTTGTTGACGGTGGATTTGAGAAGAGAGAAAGTTGGCTTTGAGAAAGATCTGCATAGAGAGGTAGGGGCTGGACTTTTTTATTCGGACATCGAACCAAAATTTAATGGCAATCTCAGTTTAGGATCAAATTTGCTAAGAGTCTTTACAACAAGAGTTTAAACCTAATTTTTCTAACGCGGAGGCTATCTTCCGAATGGAGTAGGATTCTCTCCGCTCCAAATTTCCTCCCCTCCTCTCTCACCTTCTCCTTTGTCTTTCTCTCTCTATAAGAGCACTTCCACTGTGTAAAGGTTCCCCTTGGCAATAGGCAATTCAAACCCCTCAAGTGAATAGTAACTACCTTTAATGAACAGTAATTGTCTTTTGCATCTCCACCCCCTAACTAAATAACCATGGCAATAGGTAATAAAATATTAGTATTTTTTATTTTATAAAATAATAAAAAATAATTTTATTTTTAATTTCAGATGAGATTTTTAACCGATCTCATCACGTCACGTGTCATTACCCGAAAGTACAATTTTTGTGGATAAATTTTGATAAGATTTTTAACCAATTCCGTCGCGCAACATATCCTTCCATGTTTAAAATCGTTGAAAATATTGAATGTGGTGTAAGGTGGGAGAATATGGTAAGGTATTTATAGAAGAAAAAAATTATAATTTTTTTAATTTTTTCGAATTTTTAATTGTTTTTAATTTTTTATTTTTGCCTAAAGTCTTGTCGGTGACGCGCCCCCTAAACGCGCATGTTATGCACACACCTGACGTAAAAAAAAAATTATAACGTGGCTGACGTCAACCTTGCATCACTCCCTCTCAGACGTTCGGGCTTTGGACTTGTGCCTGATCTCTCCCACGAGCTCCCCCCTCAACCCAATGCCAAAATGGGATGGCGCCACTTTGGCAGGGGATTGGATTGCAAATGGAGCCGGTTAACAAGGCAAAAAAGCATGCTGAAAGTGCTCTAAAAAATCAACACAAGATGTTGACGTGTCCTAATCGTGAGCGTTCAAATAAGAGGAGATTGGACGGGACGAAAATGAGAGATAAGAGTATCAGGATCCTTTCTAAATACATTATCACCACATTAACTATTAGCCCCTAACATTGGAATTAGCTTAATTGACATAAAATCAAATATCCTAATTCAAATTTGGTGGTGTTTTGGAATACTAACAAACAAGAAAAGCACGTGGATATTGACTCTGCAAAAGAGGAGCGTTTCACTAGCCTATAATTTCAATCCTTTAAAAAGATTGAAATTTAAAATAAATCTGTTGTTATATTACATATTGAATATAATCTTTTGATGTGTCCTTAATTCAAAATAATTAATGTGCATTTTATTTAATGTCTCCCATTAAATATTTAAATTTATGCGTGTACAAATTTTAATTTATTTTTTGACCAAAAAAGAGTTTTTTGATTTATTAATTTTATTTAACATTCTTCAAACTTGAGAGACTCAATTAATGTACCTAAATGTTAGTACCGAAATTTATGTACCGAAATGTATTATATTGAACTAATGTATTTAAATGTTAGTACCGAAATGTATGCATCGAAATGTATAAATTAAATTAATGTACCTAAATGTGTGTATCGAAATGTATGCACCGAAATGTTAGTACCGAAATGTATTATATTGAATTAATGTACCTAAATGTTTGTATCGAAATGTATGTACCGAAATATGTGTACCTAAATGTATGCACCGAAATGTATTATAAAGAATTTAATGTACTTAAATGAAGAAGACAAAGTACATCGAAATATATTATATAACAAAAATTAATTTATCTAAATGTTTACAACAAAATATATTATGAAAAATGAAATGAAAATGAAAATTATAATGAAATAAAATTAATACATTAAAAATTAGGAAGAAAAGGAGAAATAATTAAAAAAATCAAAATATAATTAATAAATGAGGTTATTAATGTATCAAGAAACTAAAATTAAATTTAAATCTTACTCATGGTTTTAATCTAAAAGTCATCTAAAAATCAAAACATGAGCTTTGCACATTGTTTTCTTCACCTATTACCACCGCCGATTTCCACTTCCCTTATACTGGTGGCCGTGCCTTGACCCCTCCTCCTATTTGCTTCCTCTATTTATACATGCATAAATAAATTCGAGGAAAACACCAATTCAGATTTTTAATTTCATACTCTCCCCTCTCAAACTTTCACCACTTTCACCGATCAAGATCTTTGATCATTGCAAAATCAGTAACAAAAAAAATAAATCAGAAAAAATGAGTGTAGCGTGCAGGACTTGGGTTGTGGCAGCCAGTATAGGAGCAGTGGAAGCACTCAAAGACCAAGGAATATGCAGGTGGAATGGGGTTCTGAGATCAGTCCACCAACATGCCAAGAACAACATCAGATCCTATTCCCAAGCCAAGAAACTGATCTCCGACTCATCTTACTCGGCGATTTCTATAACGATGCAGAGATCACAGGAGGAGAAGTTGAGAAAAGTCATAGAATTGAACTGCTGGGGTCCTAATACCCTAAGATTTTAGATCGTAATTATGTAATTTAGATTTTAGAGTATGAGTATGGATCATGTCATCCTTTTTTCCATGAGAATTAAATGACATAATTTCATTGCTCATTGGGCAAACATGGCGTTGTCAAATTTTGGTATCATTGTTTAAACCCTAAACTTATTTAACTAGTCTACCCCATTATTTGTTCATGGACAGGACCTACGAAGTGTCTTCTGGTAGATCCATATCAAAAGCAGTCTTAACATGGATTTGATCAATTTTAAGAGGTCATCCATTTTCAGATTAAGTTTTGCTGCAATTGCAATCAACATACAGATGAGATGGATGTGATCCCTTTTTTTTAATCAAGGATGTGATCCTTTTGGCTGGTAAATATATATCAAACTAGTGTAAGTGAAAAGTTGAGGTTTCATCACAAAACTAATTAGTAATATAGAGAGTAACTCAATTATTTATAAGTAGGTCTGACATTTTCTTATGCGACCCGTAACCCAACACGAAACTAACATGTTTAGGTCAGCATGTTAATGAATCGGGTTGTTATCGGGTAATCCAATGAGCACCTGTTAAGATAACGAGTCAGTTTAGGTATATACGCGAGTAACCTGTTACACGATAAGAAAATATTAATTTAGTAAATTTTAAACCAATGAAAAAACATACTATAAAATATATTTATGTGGCAATGTGGTATGTGAAAATTCTAGAAAATATATTTTTCTTAAAAAACATTTAATCTAGATGCTTGATTTTTTAATTTCTTAAAGAATGTGACCCATCAACACGTTAGCGTTTGGCTAATATTATGCATATTTAGTCAAGGGCAAATAGTCAATTTAATAAGTTGTACACGAAATGTGGTTCCATTTGTCGTGATATTTTATGTTCTCATGAGGAATTTGATATCAAATTATTATTTGCTTTCGTGAAATATATCGCTATATTCAAATTCGAGAACTTTGTTTCTTTGGGGAAAAAACAATAGAGGAATGCACATGGCATTGAGGAGAACAACTTTTGCCTTTTCCTTTGGGCCTGATCCAAAAAAACAAGCATCAGCACGCGGTTTTGATACCCTCTTACCACAGGTTTATGCCCCAAACCTTATTCTCGTCAACACTCCCAACAATTTTCCTAAACTGGTGCCACTGTCTTGAATCTCACCCTTTTACCATATCAGCTGACCAAATATATATATAGCCTTTTACCCACAATTAAAATTCAAGAAAACGCCAAAATCTCATTTCATACTCTAACAAAAAGAATCACAAAAAATAAGCTAAAAAAATGAGTGCAGCCTGCCGAGCTTGGGTGGTGGCAGCAAGCATTGGAGCCGTGGAGGCACTGAAAGACCAAGGAGTCTGCAGGTGGAATGGGGTTCTGAGATTGGTCCACCAGCATGCCAAGTACAACATCAGATCCTATTCCCAAGCCAAAAACCTGTCCGACTCATCGTCTTCTTCAATTTCTATGCCGATGCAGAGATCACAGGAGGAGAAGGTGAAAAAAGTCATGGAGTTGGTTTGCTGGGGTCCCAATACTGTTAGAATTTAGCAGTTAATTAGGTATTTTTTCGATTTAGGTTTATGGCTACGTATCTGTCATCCTTTTTTCTTGAATTACATTGCTTAATTTCATGATTTACTCGTTGAATCTTTTTTCACTACGTTTTCTCTTATTTACCATGTTTGTTAATGCAATGTTTTTTATTTTGTTTTTAAATATTTGCGGAATTAAATATTTTTTGAAAGTGAGAACAAAGTAACTTGGGCCTAAAGTTAACTTGCGGATTAGTCAAATACTTTAAATGCTGCCTCCCTAAATATAGATATTTTGCGATAAATTGGTTTGTTTTTTCTGTTTTGTTTTGTATGACTTTTTTTATTAGCATCTCACGTAACATAGAATACAATTTATATTAAAGTCTAATGTTAAATGATATATACCTTATATGCAATGACAATTTTGACCTCATAAGATTAAAAAAACATAAAAAGGAGTGTGATTGGAGATCAAATTTTCTTTACTTCTCCCAATATTTTGGGTTAGGAACCCAGTTAGGAAGCTCATTGGAGATGCTCTTGGGGCATAGAAAATAGAAAATACAAATTTGAGATGCAAAAACTATATGATTAATTACACTAACACCTCCGACGATAATTTTTTTTCTTTTCATTACTAGGGTTTAGAAAGAGGATTTGGGGATTGCCTAATCCCAATGGACCAAAAATTGAGCACCCCCCCCCCACCCCCTAAAAAAAAAAAAAAACCAGCAAATTGAGTTATCCTTTAGGGTGGCAAAAGAAAACCATGGACTAGAAGTTGGGTGTCGAAAATTTTTAACTGAGGAAGAAGAAAGCTATGGCCGTCTTCTTTGAAAAATTTAATTATTATTTTGAAAATAATATTTTATTAAAAAATAGACGACGATCGATTCGATCGTGGTCCATTTCTATCACACTGTGGGAATTGGATTTGGTTCATTAGGGCTTTTTGTTTGAAAGAAATGAGAAGTTTGGAATGATTTTAAGAGAGATTACTCATCACTGCGAACATTGTCGGTGTGAATTTGTCCACTCTTGTGAATTAAGCTACTTCACTAACCTTGTACAATGTTTTTTCACGCCATCGACGCCAATGTGTCACCCACATATAAGGGACTAATTTTTTCTTAATTATTATTGCTAATCTCGATTTTGTTTGTGTAAAATTATAAATAGAGATCGTTTGTTGTTCAAGTTGATGGTGGTGATGGAGAGGATGGGTGGAGGAAGAAGAAGATGAACAACTTATTTTTTTAACAAAATATTATTATTGAAGTAATAATTAAAGTTTTCTTAATTTGTTTTTGTCCACATGGTCTTCTTCTTGTCATTTTTTAAGTGTTAAATGATTTATAATTTTTTTATATAATTATAAATTTTTTCTTTTTTAGTTTCAAGTAATTAATAAGGGTAAATTAGTAAATTTATATGTGAAATTTTGACTGAAGGGGTTATATGAAAGGGAATTAAAATTTGAGGGGGTGTTTGTGTAATGTCTCAAACATGAGGGGGTTTTGTGAAAACCCGATAAACTTCAAGGGGTGTTAGCGTAATTAACCCAAAAACTATATTTACATCCCAATTTACATTTCCACCAAATGTAAATGAAAGTTCTTCTCTAATAGGAGAGATTAAATTTAAGATCTCATTTCCTCTCAATCAATGAATATCGTACTTGCTTAATTTAAAAAAGTTCAACTTATTGTGGTAAATATTGCTAATTTTTGGGTCACTTTCTGATTGTTTTTTTTTTTTTTTTTTGAACAACACTTTCTGATGTTAACATGCATTTTGTACGTCTCCAGATTTTACCACGAAATTTCCGCTACTCTTGGATTTGATGTTTGGGTTGGAGATTATGATTAAATTATAATTAAGTCCAGGTTAAAACCCTCAAAAGGTACTAGAATATATAAGAAATGTGTTAACAGTTGATTAATTGTCAATGTAATAAACAAGAAGCACAAGAAATGTTATTGTGTTACGTGTTTAGCTATCAACCGTTGAAGGAAGTAGGTCTCACAACCCACAAACGGCTGACGGCTTCACACACATGCACATGCAAGGGAGTATTATTTAGACCAGAAATGAGTGATGTTGCTATCATAAGCTTTGTTGGGCTTGTCGCTACGCAAACCCGTCCCATGGTTAATTATATGGTAACTTTGGATGCGGTTTTTATTTATTAATATTCTTTGATTGAAACCTTGTTGATTTTTGAGTTTTGATTGAAATTCCTGAAATTAATTCAATAATACATTTCTATGTAGGTTATTATAATTTTTAAATTAAAATTTGATATTTGTAGTTATTTATATTAATGACATTTTAAATAAAATAAAATCCATAATTTGTTGAAAATATTAACAGAAATTATACTTAAATAAAACCCATGATTTGTCATTACTTATATTAATGACATTTTACATACAAAAAATTGGTAATTTTTATATGATGCATTTTACATACAAAAAGTTGGTACATTTTATACAAAAAAAAAGGTGATACATTTTGTACAATGGGTACATTTTACATATAACAAAGTGATAACTTTTTAAAGACAAATGGGTACATTATTAATAAATTATGGGTACAAATAAAAGGTCAAAAAAAAATATGAGTACAATAAAAGTTTGAAAAATATGGTACACAAAAAGAAATTAATATATGGGTACAAACTAAAGCTGAATAGAAAATTGACACAATTTTAAAAAAGGGTTGCAAATTAAAATGGGTACAAACGTAAAATAAAAATATATGATACAAAATTTAGTCATAAATATAAATATATCAAATGTAATGTTCTAACACTAAATGAATAATTTTGAAAAAAAAAATTAATTATCTTGATATGTAACATATGTAATTATTGAAATAATTAATGATGTTTATTAAAACCAAGGGACCTTGATTAAAATTTGAAAAGGAATAAGGTTTCAATCAATAGAGTTGAAAAAAGAGGGATGAGAACTTAATTTCTCTTAATTATATCCCAACCTAAAGAGATTTTTCAGTGTGACCGGTGCACGAAGTGATACACCACGCGTCACTATGCAAATGGTGGGATATGTGTGCTAAAAAGTTAATAACTTAAAAAATAAAATTTCTCACCACTCCTATTAAAACATGTGGTGTACCACTTGTATTCCCATCACAACTAAAAATTTCTCCCCAACATTGGCGTTGTTTCTCCAGAAACCCAGTTGAACCGCCCTTAATTTGTATCTTCAATATATCTCAAATCCAGGTCCCCACAACCACCCTAACTAGCCATACAACTTATGTAAATCCATCTACACATCTCTCTTTACACCAAACAAACGTACACTAACTCCCAACTAAAACACATATACCAGAAATTAAGCTAGCCTTGCAACTCAAACATACAAAAATAGAGACGAAAAATATAATCACGAGTGCAACAACAAGGGCTTGGATAGTGGCAGCAAGCATTGGTGCAGTTGCCAGTTGAGGCACTCAAAGACCAAGTGTAAACATTGGTTTAAATGTTCAAATGTAGAGGAACCAAGGATAAGTGTAAACTTTGGAATCTAATGCCACTTAATTCACATTTCACTAGAATTTATTTTCAACTGCAAACGAAATCTAAGTATACATGTGAATAACAATTTCCCCTTGCATTG